ATCATCATCATCATCATCATCCGAATCATCACCATCATCATCCGAATCATCATCTCAATTGATGGGTTAGCTCCAGGTGGAACGTCTCTGTCGGATGCTGTTCACAGTAAATAAATGAATGTGCAAAATAGGCTTGGTAAATATTTTTTTCTATACTTTTGAGATACTCCTGCACTTGTTTGACCCTCGGAAAACCCCAGTTTTATTTTCTGAGTGCCTACCACTTCACTTTGTTTTACATGTCACAGGTGATGTTAATTGAAAGAGTAAGAAATTTCAGGAAAAATTGCGCACGCTGTTCATATGCTCCCGTAACCTAGTGTCAAGCTGACTAATCCGATTTGTTCAATCTATTCTGTGAATCAAAAAACACCACCTCAGTGTGCGATTTTCATTTGTCTTTAAGAATTGGTGAATTCAATGTTAGTGTGCACGTCGACTAAACGTGTATCCGATGAGTCGTCCCGGCTGTACCGACGAGAAACCGCAATATTTATCCTCTGTTAGGGTTTCGCGGGGTTCTTTGCCTTGAACCCCAGGGATTGGTTAACGTTGAACGTCAATTGTGAGTAAATGAGAACGTGGTCGAACTCCGTGGACTACGTTGGTTAGGACGTGTTTTATGCATGCCACTAAATAGATTGCCACGACGAGCGATGATTACCGAGGCAGATAATGAGTGGAAAGTAGCCAAGGGTGGTCAAACTAAGACATTGCATGAGGATATGAAATCCCTAACGGGGAGACTCGGTTACACAGATCGCGTAAGGCTCCCTGGATGGGCGCCTCGAGATCCTTGTAATGAATGGTTAGATACACTGAGTGATATGACTGAGTGTCGTGAACAGTGACGTTCGTGCATTTTCTCAATTTCCTTGCAGCCTCGGTCCACTGAAATTCTCCATGTTCTCTGCGGTTCTTCTTTCAAATTTTCTGTCTTTCTCCTCCTGCGTCATCTAAAAGGGTAGCCACAAGACAGAAAGCAAAACCGGCACCCGAAAGTTTACGGTTAATGGTTGTAAAAACTGAAACTGAACTGATGAGCCGGACCATTGGATTTTTCTGTTTGCTTTTTGTCCATCGTATAGTTGTGTATACTACATCAAGTACATTATTTTGAATCAGATATTCATACATTCATCATCGAATTCCATTTAATCATCGATTTAAAATTTAAAAATGTGATTTTCATAAATACTAGACGCGTTATCTGTGGTTACTGTTTTCGGACACCGTAGTTTGGTCACACATAGGTGATACAGAATCACAAATGATCGTCGCATAAACTTGGTAATTTCCTTACCTAAAGCTCTTTACTGTGGGAGTATAGTTTTACCGTCCTAGACTTAGCCTATTTAAATTTGGGAATTTGTTTAAGAGATTTTTCATTAGACAATAAAGCAAAGTTCTCGGCCTAAAATATTTACGCAATTCATTTCATTTGTATATCAGTAACAGTCTGCAAATAACATCTATCTGATAAACGTCATTCCCTCGAACCCGTGCCCCCCCCCACACACTCAGAAGTTGGAAACGCTTAGATTTCGGAGTCGGGTAGCGCTGGTGAAGCTGTGTTGGGCAAAATCTAATCGATTCAATGATCGGGGTTCTCTTCCCACCCCCGTGACTTAATCTATCCATTTGCTGTATGTCTCCTGGCAACCAATAGATCGGTCATGACCGCTCTACCGAAAAACGTATTGCACAATTATCTGTTCAACGACCTAAAAGATTACTACCTTACCGACTTAGCTATGCTTCGCCGTGCATGCATGAAGGGTTGAATATTTGGCTTTTCTATTGATTACCCGATCACGGATTCTGACCCAGCCGGTGTGAATGTAAATAAAAAAAAAAATGTTCACATATAAATAGTATTCGATACGGTGATTGTTAACGGACTGAGAACTATTCCAATCTCTTCCAGTTTTACTCGAACCCCACTCCGTGTATATGTGGTTAATACTAATTGATTTATAAATATCAAGAAAATGGTATGTTAAAGCTAACTGTCCAATGGCATATTTGCTTGTTGCGTAGGCACCTTAAGGGTACCGTATGGTTGGTTCCAGAGGCAGCTAATCGCGTAATCTTTCTGATCGTCAGCCTTCCGCAAACGTATCCGAGAATGGTACCCATGATTTGTTCGATTTCGTGTTATATTCTAATAGCACACAAATAAAATTGTTGCAGTCAATTATTTGATAAATGTGGGAGGTCGGAGAGACTTAAAACGCGGTCAGTTCACGATTCGCCACAACTGAAGCAATCCCATTTTGTGAACTTTTACTGTGATTGACCATACCTTCTTCACTATTAGGCTGATCTCATTCAAAACATCGGGGGAAGCCCATGTAGCAGCACCGTTTAGTTCCAGTGGCTTCATGAAATCCTCGTGCTGGGGAAGGAGCGTAAAATCACATGAGATTAGTTTTAGAAAATGATCCCCAGCTAGTGACAACCAAGTGGTTATATATATATCCGCATAAGATAGAACCAGACTTAGTGTACGTCAGATTTGTTAGAGTGTACACAGTTTGAAGTGGTTTATCTGGTTGAGGTCACAATGTCAATTTTCAAACATGGGCCTAAAACTAACACACTTTCATAGGTTGTTAACATTCCTATTTGCTCCCATTGTAGTGAGATACTACTCACNTTGTGAGTTGTAGGTAATATAGTTGATGATTTATTTCAACGATCAAAAATCAACAAGATCACCGAAGGCAAATTGCTGTATCTCAAAGAATGACTATAGATTGCTACGTTCATTACCCGTTGAGCGGCCACGAACTGCAATGGTACATTTCTGATCAGATTTTTGTGCTATGTATGCCAGATTGATGATATCCCATCTGAAATCCTCGATAAACAACTATATTCGACTAGCACCGTCTTCTGGAATTACAACATCATCGCTGAACACTTCATCTCATTAGTAACAATAAGGCCTTGATACATGAACTTTTCAAACATTGAACTCCTCCTGAGGTTTGTAAGTTTGCGACTTCTTTTTTCAATCCATGGAACCACACAATCTCTAACAACCGGAATTTCCATCGTTATTCGGATGTGGAATTGTGCAGAAATTGTGTGTGTGAGCCGGATTTCAGCGGATTTCATTTTTTGGTACACACAACAAATTTACAATTTAATGAAACTCCTTCGGCGTTTTTTGAATTATTTTGCTTTTAAAACAGTGCATAAACATTTCTGGAACATCATTTTCACGATCGAAGATCAAGCCCCCCTCCCGCTAAAATAATTCGGGATCAAACATTCGTTTCACGTTCTTGGACTTATTGCCATCTGGATACTCAGCTGAATCAATTGCACTGAATATCCTCAGCTTGAACCAGTCAATATAAGAAACTGTCAAAGTTGGGTACAGTTGTAACATAGAAAGAGTTCAATTCATTTTATCTTGAGTACAACTCTGAAGCAGATAAACCAACCAATTTGATAGACAATTCCTCAACTATCCTGTACGCCTGGCGTGTAAGAGCAACGAATCAGTGTATAAGAAACATGAATCTCGCATTGTTTTGAGAAGAAAAAAACAATTCTACAGGTCACAGTTTGGCGGGAATGCTACTAGGTGAACCAGTTAAGGAGACAAATACATTTAATCTTGAATTCTACGTAATTGCGATATCACCCGCACTCGACAGTCGTGGTGGGTATCAGATTATCAACGATACTGACGTCTCAAATTACTCACCAATCAAACGAGGGTAAGAGGAAACAGAATAACTTGAATTGTTATCGATTAGGCGCATCAAAAATAAAATTTAGCTACTGATAAACGTGTTAGTAGTCAAGAATTTGACTAAAATATAATTAGATGATGCATTCGTCGCGCAAATAGGGAGTGACCTGAATAGCCGGGAAGCATTGGACAACTATTTCGACCTGATTAGGTCTCATAAGCAGTGCGAATATATCAACCTGAATAAAAATCGAACCCGGGACCTCACAGTTAGAACGCAAGCATTCGATCCACTCGGCACCGGGCAGCTGATCAGACCGTTTCTCATTTGGAATATGTACGATGTAGCACAACCCATCGTTGCGAGCTTGTTGCGCGCAATGGAAATCGCTCACCTCAGTACGAGCTTCCAGGGTTATGATTCGGTTGAAAATTTTCATCATCCAATCAAATGCAATCCTAAATTTCTCTCATAAAAAAATTCATTCACGTTCACACCAATTCCTTTTTCTGATTTCAATTCATTGTATTCACATTGAGCGATCACCAGTGGTTTGGCATATCAAATAAATAAATAAACAAAAATAAATAAATAATAAATAATATTTTAGGCGTTTTACTGCCAAAAATATCATGGATTCGGTGCACGTATCAGCTGCAACTCTTGCAAAACGGAATCCAGACTTGAACCATGATTCCAGAACAGATGTTTGCATATTGTTATGTGATATAGCGTCACGAACTCTCAGGATATGCACCGTTCACGATTCACGACAAGGTCAAAGCAGTTCTCTGGTGCTTTCATTTGTTTGTACTGTGAAGTGCGGTATTGCGTAATGAATCGATCTCTTATGGAGACCATATGCTGTCGCGTTATTAGACAAAGCTAATTGGCTTATTGAGTGAATAGCTTTCTTTTCTTGAAAATGGAAAGTAATTTAGGCCAGAATGATGAGTTACCAATGGAAAATCATCGAAAGTGGGCGTGAAATTTTTAATTACTTGCTTGGAACAGAATGAGTATGGCACAACGGGGTGAACTACCTCGATTCTGTTGAGTCCGAGTCGTGCCATCATACTTGGCTCAGAACATGTGTGCGTTAGCGTGTGAAACGGATCATACTGGCAACCGTTCAATTGGTTGCCACTTTATTGAGGGAGAATGACTAAGACCAGACGAGGTTTAGTGCTTGAATAAAATCTGTTCTGGGCCCACGGGAAGGGGAGAAGGGGGAGGACCATTGTGAATCCGAATGCATAACGCCGTGATTGTGCCCAGAATGCGACGCTTCATTACCTCGTGTTGTCTTTTTCCACCACATACACTGGGAGGTCTATTTCAATGAGGTGAATCACCTTTCTGGTGCGTTTTCTTTGTTATCAATAAGCAAAGATGTGCCTATGACGATCGTCGATCATCCAGATTCTTCTGACCGAATTCATGTGGCACCTAACTTGAATATTTTCACGCACATAAAGCACACCCATGTTAAAGTAGATTTGCTTTCCACTGTCATCGTCTTCATCAACATCATCGTACAGCGAAATACAGTGAAGCGAACTTCGCTGATCGCTGCCAAACTCGCAATGCATACAAGGTTAGTGGTAAAATTTAAGGTGGACAGGGATTGAATCTATTTTGAGGGAGGGAGGGAGAAGAAGATGAGCCACTATGGTCAACACACAGAGTACGCAATCGAACTCTGCATGCATACCACCGTGGCACGTTGAAGCTCAAAGAAGCGGACTCACTTGACACAGTGAACGAGAAACTTTCTCAGCACGTAACAAGCCAACTCCGTGGTTTCCATGTGTGTCACTTTAATGCGTCCGTATTGACAGGAGCCATGAATGGGCCAGTATCGATCACACTTGCTCTCGTTTGCTTCGATCAGCTGGCAGAGCATGACAATTGTGCAACACCGTTGTTCCCAGACCATTGACCAGAAATCGTCACACGTTTCGTTCAACGGAGCCTAGTTCGACAAAGAGAGACAAGGAAAACTGTGTATGCGGATCTCGATACCCCCGTGAACTGGATTTTCTTAAGCTGTGTAAGAAATCATTTACAAAATCATTTATGAATGAAATCCACACATGTAGGTGGTTGCTGTGCTTCATTTGGTGATGAATAAATCCAAGTTTGTAAAAAATCCTTTTCCCTTTCTCCATTTCATCAACACCAGAAGATGTATGTGGGAAGAATTGATATTGGCCATCAATTTCGCGTGCTCTCATTCAGCTGTAATTGCGTATTTATATTATCACGTAAAATAAAGAAACCTGATAGTTAAAATAAGTCATTTGAACAAGGTGGTGGTGGACAAGTGAATTGCGTGATTTGTGTTTGGTTCTGGCGTTGAGGTCAAGTTAGATGATAAAATCTGATATGGAGGTGAACTGGTCCGAAAAATGTGGTGAATGTGGTGGAGGGAGGGGGACGGAAGGTCATGTCATGCTATGGCAGGGTGTGACGTCATCACTACCACGGTAATAATAGTTGCGTCACAAATATTTTCTAACACATAATTGCGGTTTCAAGCGATGAATAATTATCGCTTCTAAGAATCACAGAGTCCGTGATTTCCGGGGCCTCGCAATAACTCAAAACGCTTTGGGTGCGTCTACGTGGTGACCGGAATCTAACAAATCTAACAATCGCACTAGATAGTAATTTCCCGCCGCGAAGACCAAGCCGTTTCGGGATATGTTCACACATTCTGCTTGATAAATGACTTTCTGTTATTCCGATGGACCGCTGACTGCAGTTACATTGAAATGAATAGATACAGTTGGAGGTGACACTGACGTCTTCTCGATTCAGATTAGTGCGTGAGAGACGTATGTCTGCTCACATATGTCTTCTTTTGTCGATATAATCCAATTTTGTTTGAAAGTAAATCAAAGCAAATAAATGCTACGTGGCACCATATCGCGAATATTTAGGCTAAGGGCATAATTGCATCGGCCTAGCACATTCTAATTTCTGGGTGATCATGAATGATTGGGTTTCTCTTCATTACCTATAACTCGTTGAAACTCGTTTGCTCGACTAGATGAATTTCCCCCAACGGATACGTTTGCACGGGTTCACAGAATGTAGAGGCGAATTTTAGTAAAAAAACACTATATTATCATCAGAACGATTGTCAGATGACTTTCTGACAACAATCTGATAGCTCGGCTATCCTCCTCAACGTAGTCGTTTCTCAATCAATGTGGAATGTATTTTTGCTAAGCTGCAAATGTGAACCACGAAAGTATAGTTCAAGTAATTTCAGACTGCTGATTGGGAAGCCCACCCAGAAAATGGATGTCGTTCGTAAATAGGAAAACCTAAAGTTGAGAAAGGGACACAGAATGGATGTAATGAATGAGTTTTAGTTTTCCATTTACACGATATAGCACAACCCATCTTTGCGAGCTTGTTGCGGGCCACAAACCCTACTCATATCAGCACTAGCCTCCCGGGGTTATGATTCGGTTGGAAACATTCACAACCTGATTACTTATTTCATGTGTAAATGGAGGATTTGATTCAATTTCAAATGGGGATTAGTCTTGTATATAGTAAATGAAGCGTGAACTGAAAACCTAGAAAGCACTGGACAGCTATATCATGTAAATGGAAAATAGGAAACGGCCTCATCAGCTGCCCGGTGGTGAAATGGGTAGCATGCTCGCGTTCTGCCCCTGGAGTTCTGGGTTCGATCCCCAGTTGGGTCGATGGATTCGCACTGCTGATGAAACCCAACCAGGCGGAAACAGCTGTCCAGTGCTTCCTAGTTTTTCAGTTCACGCTTCATTTGCAGTATACACGACGAATTCCCATTTGAAATTTAATCAAATCCTCCATTACTCACATGATATATTCCTGTTTGCAGTGCAACGGAAGCGTGAACCGCTAAACTAACTATACTGTATTTCCATGCGATTTGGTGTCGTCAACAGAACAAATTCGTGAATGCATTTTCGGATCGAACCCGAAAGGTTACAGGTGGAAATCTCACACATGAACACTGAACAGATGCCTAGGATTATTCACTTTGCCTTTTAATTCACGAACGTTGAACAACTTATTCCCCACGTATTCTAGCGGTATGAGGTGCTGTTCACATTTGTGAGTAGTTTGCGCGCACTCAAAAGCCGTCACTGGATTCCCTCGGTATACGCGAGTGGATTGAATGAATTTCGGTAATAGTTCAGCTCATTCCTGTGATCGGTGTTTTATTTATAAAACAATGCGACGCAAAGGAGGAAAATATTTTTCTTATGTAATTAGCGGTAAATGCAGAACTGGTTATAAAATGAAAACGATTACGTGCCTATCAGACGGTGATATTCATTTGGTATCACATGATCACTAGTATTCATTTGTTTGCACCAAACGAAACGGGCCAAGATANATATTCTCGGAAGGTTATTGATTTTAGTCAGGAGTGGGAATTTATTTTAGCGTGGAGAAGAACCGCGGATATGGAAGAACACAAGCTGTCTCCAGTCCGATAGTAAATCAAAAGTGAAACAATACCGACGCAGGTATCATTTAGATGCATTTACAGAGGTGAACAGTAGTTTCGAATGTTCGATCTAATAGCATATGCATGTGACACGAGGATTGATTATGTAGATGTTTAATCTGTCATAGCAACAGTTTGTGAGCCCGGGTAAGGGAGGGTATGTGCACTGCACCATCAGATTACGACATCTCGACAACAATCAGTTTGTTTTATGGAATCATATGGGCGACTGGTTTGGGACTATGGTATTTTTATGGCACGAGCAGATACGATGAGTGGGATGAAATCAATGATGATCGCTTCCGAAGTGGTCCAGATGTAAAGACGCAACCAGTCCAATCAATGAGGTAATACTAAATGGATTATTCAGAAGGCTGATACAAATTTCGGTAAATGGTTTAGGCAAGCGAGAATCAGGCCTCCCGCGTAGCGTGTTGTACAAAACGTTTGCATTGTGTTCCGCTTGCTCGATACATTCTGCATCAAAAGCAGAGTTCAATGCAAAGTTCCTCTTGGATGAAACCAGTGTGAGAAAACTGTCTTAGTTGGGTGTTTTCTTTATTTTTGAATTTGTGAGTAGTACTCATGGTAGGGCCTGGCATAAATCAAGGCGATTATCAGCACGTGAGTCAACCCAGGGCCGCTCCTTTAAAATAGAAGTTCACCAAATCGCAACCCATTCCGAGATTCATAAACCAACCTACATTGCGATCTTTCTTATGGGTTTCTTTTCACCAGTTTATCAGAATCTCCACTTTAACCTGAACATGTTCTATAGAGATGAAAGGTTTAAACCGTGATAAAAGGATTTCAGAACGTTTTTGTGCAGGTGAGACGTAACAATGAGTAACAGTTTCAGCTCGTTTTTGGTGACTCATAGCCCTCCAAGTACGTGGATTTTCAGTCCCGACCTGTGTCTTTCTTCTCTAGACCGTAATTCCAAGCAGTCAATGGGTTGATCATCACACTGTAGTGACAAGTTTAGCTGCTTAATTCTGGTTTACGGTTTTCAAGTTGAAATCCATAGACGGGTAATCAACGTGAGTGAAATCACTTTCTGTGTCAATAATTCAAAATACATGACCAATGTTCCAAGTAAGAAAGAAATTGTACCTCTTTGGTTTGAATCCCAAAACAGAACTTTTCATTTTGAGCATGTAAACACCCGTAGGTAATAGATTCAATGTAAAGCCCATTACGTCGAACCTATGATTCATCGTTAAGTGAAAACTGAACGTGAAAAGTGCACCGTCGGACGTTAGTTTGTTCTTTTGTTCTTCCGAGTGGAACTGCATTGTATCTGAGTGATACAATCAACCGCTGTTCACTGTTTACAAAACAGGAATTCTCAATCCACTTTGGTGCATTACAATCGTGGTCGGGATGGTTAATTCACTTAACTACAAGCGGCATTATTTATACCCCTGGCAAGCATACACTTCTGGAACAACTTGAGATTATTTGGCATTCAGCACTGACTGACATTTAGTCCCGTTTGATTCGAGAAACCCGGGTACGTTACTCGTGTGAAGTGGTTCACAATTCGTTTGATAGGTACATCAAGATTTCTAGTGGTATATGCAACCTATCACAAAATAATTTTGATGAGAATTTTGTGAACCCGGAATTTCGTTGTTGATCAATTTCGAAGGGGCCGACGACTTGCTCGAGGAGAAAAATGTTTTATGCTGATTAATAAACTCGAAAATGCAGCAGAAATGTTTCCTTTGGGACAAGCTGAATCAGACAAGGCAACTGAATGAGGTAAAAAAATGTGAATTATAGATGACGAATGCTTCAAAACAGTGTGATTTATTGCTCCATTTCTGCTGTCAGGTTGTGATAATGTCCGCCGGTTTTCCATCCATTTGAACACGCTGATTGTCACCAAAAGCGACTTGCATTAGGTGAACGTTATTCAATGAAGAAGAAAGAAAAAACGCACAAGAACAATATATTTTGAAAGAAAATTGGTCAAAAGGAGACGTGCAATTGCCATATGCTATTTTATCGTCTACTGTTAAATGTTAAATCGTATTCAGAGGACGATACACATATGCTTTAATCACGATAGCACATAGATATCAAATGAATCTGTGATCGACCGCCCTGTGATAGCAGTATTTTCAGAAATTGCACTCTCGCGTTCAGCACATGGAGTGATATATCAGTTTTGGATCAGACGAAACTAGGTCACATCGCACCGAATTGCTGATGGTATACGTTCAAACTTTGAAAGAGTGAATTGACGAAGCCAAACGTGCACATGATATCATTTGTGAGAATATTAATCACACTATGCTATAACACACTAGTTTTTCAGTTTTTATTTTGTACACCCATTAACCATGCATGTTTGTGTGCCGGTTTTGGTTGCTGCGAATTGGGATGAGGCAGTAGGACAGAGACAGGAAAGTTGAATATAGAACCAAAGAGAACATGGAGAATTTCGGTGGACAAAGGTTGTAAAGGAACTGAGATCTTTGAAGGTCATTGTTTACAACACTTAACCCTCTCACTGAGTGTCTCTAACTGCTGAGCCCAAGGTGCCCATCCGGGGAGCCTTTTTATTTTTTCTTTTCATTTTACTTCCTTTCATTGAATATGCAACGATACAATGTTGAGAAAGGGAGAAGCG